AGCAATGTTATAATACTATTAAACCATGATTTTTAACCCTTGGAGAAAAACTCAGATTTACAAAGATATTTGTACTTCTTATAAATAATAAGAAATTTCCTGAAAAAGAGAATATTTTTATGTCAATTTTTATTTTGCTTAGAGAGTGGATGATAGTGACAAAGTTTTCATAGTTGGCTTTGGAAACCCTGATTATAACTTCCTGGGGTTTTTTTTAGTCCATTTATACGTCAGTATAGCAACAAATCTACGCCTTCTGTGGAAAGGGAAATGAGAATGTCTCCTTTCTAGAGCATTGCCGGTTGATACCCATTTTAGTCATTCCTGCCCTCACCCATGCTCAGGACTGGCTGGAAGGAAATTTCCTACCCTCACACCATTTGCTGCTCACCTCCCCCACCACTAGCCAACCTCAGGGAAACAAATGCCAGAACTAAGTGGGAAAATAGTGTGCTACCTGGCAAAATTTTCTGGAATAAATTTAGATCCATTTAAGAAAAATAAAGCCTGTCCAAAACCATGAAGAACTGGGCACCTGTGCTTCCTAAGGGGTCCGCTGGAACCAGTTTGCAAGAATCAGATTTCCTTTCTGCTAGGACGTTGGCCAAACTCATGAAGTACTTTTTCCTTAAGCCAGGAAGCTATCTATCCAAGTTGCGTCCTATCATTCTTATTTATAAGGGTTAAGGTCAAGGGCCTTCTCAGATGTTGTAAATAGGCAGATTCCAATGCTGCCTGTTTGTTTATCATGTCAGTTAAGCCTCCAGCTTTAAGATTAAACCACACTTTTCCATCCATTAGAATCCTCTAGATAGTGAGCGGGTGGCTGCGGATGAATTTTTAATATTCTTTTTCCATTTTCAAGGGCTGTGTTCTCCCCAGTGCTCTGCCTTTGCATGCAAACAGCTTGCATTCACCTTTGTGAGAATTTAAGGTTATTGGCTTTTTCCTCTGAGCTGCCAGTTGTCACTGGGATCATCACAGATTCTATCTGCCCCTAATCAGAGTTATGCAGCCAGTAGGATCTCTGAAGAGGAGTTGGGATTGGGGGGAGATTGAGGTAAGGGGAGGATGTTCTGGATTTAGAGTATGCCCCAAACCTGTGAGATCTGTCAGAGATGCTGTAGAGTGAGCCAACAGTGTGCTGACATGGGAAGAGCCGAGGGCAAGGAGTTATAAATGTGGAGTCCAGATCCAGCTGGTTCCCCTCTGACCATGGATGACTTCAGGTCAGGGATGGGGCCTCCTTGCTGTGCCCTCCCCCTGGAGCTTACGACACAGGTCATCCACAGAGTAGGTGTTCAATAAACGCAGTCAAATATTTTGCTTCCCCACAAAACACAGACATGAAGTGTGCATATGAAATCAGCTCTCATTTGTAAGTCATGGCAAGACACTGCTCTAGGTGTTTCTGTTCATATAGTTCATGTCAAAGAGTTGCTATGGGGATAAGCCTCATTAAGAGTTAGGAAGATTACCAGAACCAGTCAGTAAAAAACTGGTTATTTCTAATCTTTTTCACTTCATTTAAAGACTCCAAAACCATCAATAAACCTTATTTGGAAGGTCTGTATTCATTAAATTAATTCATTAAATCAGCTTCCTTGTTCAACTGAGTGGAAACCAATTCTTGGGAAAGAGACCAAACACCTGGAAATAGGCTCTGTCTGACTGTGGTGAGAGGTCAGTGGCGTGCCTTCAAAACTTCAAAACTTCAACTACCCTGGAAGTAATATAAACACTGCAAGGAACCAAAGGAGATGATAACAAAACCTTCCAGCACCTGAAGTGTGCTCAGGTGGCACAGCATACCCCTCAGTTAAAGCATTTCATTGGCTTTTCCAGAGACACATGGGTGTAGGAGGTCAAAAGGTCAAAAGTAAGTCACCATCAGCACGTCCCATTGCAGGGCCAAGCATGTGCTCCATGAACTCCATGGGACCATTGCCCTCTGCAACTTTTCTGTCATGTTCCCTTAACTAAGCCTCACTTCCAAAGCCAATTGGCATCTTAGTTCCATTATGTGCTGGCTTTTAGGAGAAGACAGTAGAAACAAACAAAATTCTCCTTAATCTTTAGTGAAACAGGTGAAGCTGGCTGTGTGTCAGTCATTTTTCTTTCGACATAAGTTCTCTGTCTCCAAGATGGTCGATGAGGCCATGCAGCCATCCTCACGTACCATCCTGGGAACAGTATTACATGTGGGTAGACAGAAAAGTAAGTGACAGAACAATACTTCAGGGAGTTAACTATAGAAGTACTTAACACACATTGACAGCACAAGAAAGAATACTGGTTTTGGTGAGGTCCCAGAATGCGCTACTGACAGTGAAATGATTACTGGTTCTAGACAGACTTCTCGCCAGTCCATCTAGAAAATGGCAGGACCCTTTTCAGTTAAAGCAACAGATGACTCCACAACCAACCTTGTGTCTCTGGGTTTCCTTCCAATAAGACTTAGCGCCGGGGCCTGAGTCTTAGTCTGTGCTGTTGGTGGCCAATGTGTCGCTGGCCAGGAGTCCCTAACAAAGATTTGTTTCACAAGGTGTCAGAAAGCCGCAAATCTTACACTTGGTGTGTTGATACCAAAAGCTGATGTTCTCAGGAGAACATCTGTCTTGGCTCATTTGGTGGCCCCATGAGTAGAATGTGGACTGAGTGTACTGGTGTTCAGTAGAACACAGGAATTTTGAGCATGGGAATTAAAGCAATATCACAATAACACTGGTATCAGTGAACACCAAGAAGAGGGTTCACCAAATCCTTCTTTATGTTGTCCATTTACCACTGAATATCGTTGCTAACCTAATGCTAATGATAATGATGAAAAGAATAGTAATAATAATAATAATAATAATAATAATAACAGGATAAAACTCTGACAGCCAAAAACACACAAAATGAGTGCTTACAATATGCACAAATTCAGAGATGATTTTATATGCTGTAGGTTGCAATTAGCTATAATTCACTGAGCTAGAAGTATCTTTTACTATCTCCTTTAGATTTCTAAAAGAGGTGCCTTCTATTACACATGTATAAGATATATATTATGGTGCAGGGCACCTGGTACCCCAACACATTAATTAAAACACTGGAGTGTTTTATAAAGTCAGCCCCACCAGTAACCTGGAAAACAGTAATCGTGAAAATATCTACCTTGGGTCTCAGGCTACGTCTTTGAGTTTAATGCAGAACGCAGTAAAACCTCTCACATTTCATTGATAATTATTTTTCTTTTGTTATCAGTATTGAGGATATTGGTATGGAGCACATATTAAGATTCATTTGCCTGCAATGTGCAAGTGAATTTTCTGGATTATTATGTATTCCACTGGCATAAAGATCATTTTAAAGAAGCATTAATTTCACATTCTACTACTTCATTACGCCATAATAGTTGAAGATACGCCATACGTGAGCTTGCTTTTTGCAATCTCTGATGATTTCTTAAGAAGAGGAAGATTTAATTAAAATTAGCACGGTTGCCATTAAATTAACAATCAGAAGACGTATTTAGATCAGTTAACCATCTTTTGCCCTTAAAAGGTAAGGGCACTTAGGTGTTCAATAGACTAAGCCTGCTACCCTTGTCTCTCAGTAGATCGGGTACCGAAGTGACCATTTTCTGATTTATTTTCTGTGTTACTTCCTGATATTTTGGAGGGACTGGAGAGACAAAAGAACTTTTGAAATATTAAAGTTTGTTTATGACTGTGTGCTCAGTGTCCACATCATGTTCTCTACTTGAGGAAAGGAAGGAATGTTCTTGGGGAATAGAGGTCCTCCGTCCCCCACCGAGGCTTTCTGTGGGTGCCAAGCTGGGTCTGAGCCTCACACTGGAAGCACGGGGTATCTGAGAGAGACTCTCGCTCACCCCCCAAGTCTTTGACCATAATGTACTGCTTATCAGTGAGCTCTTCCTAGGGGCCTTGCCTTTACCTGCCCCCCCCCAACCTTCCACCTAATTAATAGTCATTCTCCTTAAAACATCCCTTACCCTATCTCCAGCACCAGGTGGAGTTTCTGGTTCCTTCCTCTGTGGCCTCCCCACACCTACTGTTTGCCTGGCACGAGGCAGACATCAGAGGACTTGTGGGCCATGGGAAGGAAGGAGCACTTCGTTTTTACCTCAGTGGAGCCCAACAGCAGGAAGGGGTACACGCAGGTCAAGGATTGCTTTATTTATTTATTTTCCTTTTGACAAAAGGTTAAACCTTATTTTTTTCTTTAATTAATTTATTTTTTTTATTATGTTATATTAGCCACCATACAGTACTTATTCATAAAGATCATTCTGACTATGGTGCAGGGAAAGATAAGAAGAAGCAGGGCTTCCCAGTAGAAGGTGGAGGTTATGGGGGCTTGGACTGGACCTTTAGCCCTGGGGTGGCATGAGTGAGCACGTGGGGGGAATATCTTGGAGGACACTGAGGCTGTAGGAATTTAAAGTAGAAATCCCTGGAGCAGAGGTCATGAGAGGTATGGCTTGACTCATAACAAAGAGAGGGTCTGTAGAGCAATGCTAGCAAGGGAAGGAAGGGGGACACGTAGGCATTACTCCTGGATGCCCAATTCAAAGGTCGCTAGGTTCTAATTCTGACTTCAAGCTGGATTGACTGATTTATTTCCCATAGACATTTTCACAGAGTAATCCCCTTGAAGGAGAAAAGCAAAAAACCCCAAAAGCCCAATAAACAGAAAACAAGAACTTGCCTCAGTCTCTCTAAGCAGACCTAGAAGAAATGCAGCGAGCTGGAAGGAAGCTGACCGTTTTGTCTGTTAATCTTTTCCTAAGTGTGAAACTCTGCACTGGGAACCACATAAACGGAGGAAACATTTGAAGTCCCTTTCTTTTTTTTCTTGTCAGTGCCCAAAATGACCAACCTTCTCAGCCACTTGCTCTGAATGAAAGTACCCGAGAGCTTTTGTCACATTTGGGATGAATGTTTTTTCACAAAGCAACTGTTTTTGGTTTTGTTTCTGTTTTTTCTCTTCAGGATACCCCAAACAGAGGACTACAGCGCCCCGAAATGGGTTTTCCCCCAAGCCAGAACTGCAGAACCGCGAAGCTGAGCGGCAGCTGGTCCAGCGGCTAAAGGAGAGGTGCCAGCAGCAGGCCCGGCAGCTGGGCCTCATGCAGGGGGAGCTGCGGAGAGCTGTGTGTGGCTTCCAGGCGCTCGCCGTGTCCACTCAGTATTTCTCCAGAAAGGTGAGGCCATGTTCGGGGAATGTCGAGGGGCTTTTTGCTGGAGAAGAGGGTGGTGATGGTGGTAGTTGTGTGGGGGGTGAAGGGGAGGGGAGTCTTAGTTTGGGTTTAGGGGTAGATATCGATCTGATTTTCAGAAAGTCATACAAAATCTCCAGCAGCAGTATCTAACGTCCTGGAAGCCAAGTTTATACGTATGTGTGAGAGAAATCGGTCTGGGAAGAATGACTGAGTAACTGTGATTTCAAAAGGGAAAGTTTTGTAAAAAAACAAACAAACCAACCAACCAACCAACAAACAAACAAAAAAACAAAGAAGATATAAATGAATGTTTTGAAGGTGAGATCTTGGAAGAAAACAGAATATGAGATTGTCATTTTAGGGACGAAATGGCCAAATTCTAAAATTTCCTCACATTTCAAATAAAAGGGAGGCAGGAACACTGTGCTGTTCCACCATAGCCATTGAAAGGAGATGGGATGTGCCAGGTCTGGGGACATCGTGACGGAGGAGTTGGGGCCATGCTCACGGTGTTCATGGAGCAGCATGGGGTGGATGGCACCCTCTCTGCTCCTTTGGTTTCTCTGAAAATGCAAAGAGCTTGTTCATTCTCAGCAGAGAAGTTATCCAGAGGCTCCTGGAGCCATCCACACACTGAGTCTGTTATTAGCCATGATGTAGCTCAGCTTTCCCGCTAGTCATCGTGGAGCAGAGGTTAAGGGGAGCCTGGCGTCTGAAGGAATGCATTTGTGTTCTAGCAAGAAATAGCCAAGGCATGTTTGGGGGAGAAGATGAACATTTACCTTCGAGGTTTAAACATTATGAATCAGCATGTTAAAAACCCATAAGGCATTCTGAGTTTCATATATGGACCTTCTGGTAACTATAAATGGGAGGAAGTAAAAATACTTTGCAAATGCTTGTCTCCAAATAAGAAAATGAGCTAGCTAAGTGTCTGGCTACTTTAAAGAAGAAAAGCAGAAGAATGTTATATAGCCCTACATCCTTGGTGTTGTTTACCACCTGAACATTAAAGTGTGGAGGACATCCTATGCCCCCCCACCCCTCCCAGTACAGAAGCCTGCCTTGTTGTGGTGGTTGTTTTCTGTTTCACTTGAGACTTTCAGCAGAAAGACCCAGTTAGCAATTTGTTGGTGTAGTGAAAGACAAGAAGAACAGAATTCAGTTTTATCCATAGTTTCAGCCTCTTTCCCAACCACGATGTTCACAATGAATGACTACTTTGAATTGCATACCTTCCTTTCTGGCAGGTATACCATGGGTGTCAACCTTGAACAGCTCAGGTCAGTCTACACCCAACCCTGTAAGAATTAAAATTACAGGCACATTTTGGAGGGGCCATTGGGGCCTGACTTGCTATGGTACATATTGAGCAGTTTTCTTATGAGAGAAAGAGAGACCTGTCTTCTGTTCTTTAGCTTAATATGTATTTTCCTCTGACTGTCGCATCTTTAATAAAGAGAAAAGAATGAGGTTGCCCATCAAGGGTCAATGGTAACATTGATGTCATTACTCTGCTCTTCTGTTACTTCTACTCTTGTCTTAACAAATCCTTTTTTAAAAAATTTTAATGCCACTATAATTAACACACAATGTTACATTAGTTTCAGGTGTATAATATAATGATTCAACTCTTCCATACATCACCCAGTACTCATCATGTAACCAATCCTTGAGAGATGTTTCCGTGGCTAGACATATCAACAGACATTGATATAACATATTGGTAATACGTGCTGTGTTCCCAAGTTGGAACTTTTGGACCCCATTTATGGCATTATGGCAGAGAAGGGAGTTCCTGGGCAGAAATCAAGGGTTGGTTCCCCATAGTTAAGTAATTCTATGACCCGGAATATTCCTTGTTGGCCCATGGACCAAGAGTTTTATTTCTCCACAGAATACACATGGCTCTTAAATCAGAGACCACAAAGGTCTAGCACATGATTTGTAGGCATCGCCTTCAGACCTCCCTACTACTCGAGTTGCACTCAGCGTGACATTTCAGCAAGACGGATGGCAGACATGAATTTCATGTTCTTTTCAGTAAATCACAACCAGCAACCCCAGACAGGCCTCCCAAACGACCATGGCATTTCACCTCCCACACAGCATCGTGTGCTTTTCTGTCTTTCTGATCTCAACTCTCTCCCCAGATAAACCCCAGAACTAAAAATGGGCGTGTTAAAAAAAAAAAAAAAAAAGTCTGTAATTGAACAGAAGTGGTTTCCACAGAGGCTACCATGTATCCTACGTGGTTAAGATGGTTGATTTGAGAGTTTGCCCAGTGGTACCAGATTAGACCAGGAGGTGGGAGGTGGGGTGGGAGCACCTAGGAAAACAGAGGCACACCTCCATAGCCAGCTTGAAAAGGCAGTATCTCTTTTCTTTTGTGGTTAGAAGGCTCAACCATGCGTCTTGGAAATCTATGCCTGTATTATTTCTATACCATAGCAGATTTGTCTGTAAAGCATAGCGCGGTAGAGAGGGCATGGGACCAGCAAGGACTCAGCTCTCCCTTCGCTTCTGTCTACGGATGAGACCTTGAGCAAGTTACTGCCCCTCTCTGAGCCTCATCACATCACCAAAAGGAGTAATATCCTTGCCGTTGCTCCGGCTCCATTAGCCAAGTCCCCTCTGACTGGTCATCCTTGAGTCTCTGTTTCCTTAACTTCAAATACGGTGAATAATGCTTCACAAGGTTATTGTGAGAATGTCATAAATGAATGAGTGAAGTTACTTCAAATAATTATTGAGCAAAACCTTCTTTTTGAGTACGAGGAAATCTGACAAGGCTCTGCCCTCAAATATTTTACTCTCAGTTGAGATGAATAAGACCTAGACTAGACCTATAAAGCTCTTCTTCTTTCACTATACTTGTTCATAAAGAGTTTGGCCTGGAGTGTACTTTAGGATGGAAATAATTTTCAAGTCTAGCTATTCAGCTGCTGCTATGTATGTTTTTCCGGAATGTGCTGATACCATTAAGGAAGTATTGAGAGTAAGTCTCAGTGTATGTGAAGTTCCTAGAAAAAAGGAGTTAGAAGCGTAGATAAGAATCTTCCATTCCAGCCCCATGCCCCATGCTTTACAGCTCCTGGCAGAGCAGCTGTGAAAATTGTCAGCTGGGAACAGCCTGAGCCCAGTGTCCAGGGATTCCAAGCTGCCACATTGAGGTGCTTAACAGCAGCCTCAGGCTTGCTCTGGTTCCAGGCAGCTCCGCCCCTGCGGCAAGGCATCGTCCTCACCACAGGCCAGACAGATCTGCTGAAATCTGTGGTGCCAGAACTCCGGGTGGTGTAGTAATGAGCCTCACTCTCGGACTCTGCACTTCTTAGGGTCAAGTTGAATGATTTTTTATCTTTTTCTTGCTGCCTGGTTCCCGGGAATGCTACTCTTTAGCAGCCCCTGGTGGCCAATCCGGGAAATAATTCAGATGACGGTCCCTTGCCAGGCACCATCAGGTTTTATACAAGTTACATCTGAGGGTGCATTTATTTTATCTTATTTTTAGTAAGATTATTATATTTTTCAGTATTTTTTACATTTACTTGCATCATTTTTATCTTTGGCTTTATAAATGTGATAGTAGATGATGGGTTTTAATTGTTTTTTTTTTTTAATTTAGTATTAAATAGTTTAGGCATAAAAGAATTGAAAACTAATGTCAAACATTTGTGTACTATATAAGCTTATAATAAAACTAATAATGCATCAGCCTTCTTTTTCCCCTGTACACACACACACACACACACACATATATATATATATATTGCTTTTACTGTTTGACCTTATATCAAACAATAATTTTAAATTCAGAAGAGTAGAAAGCACAACATCTGAACACCCATCATCTGTATTTAATACTTATTAACATTTTGCTATATTCACTATTCACTTCATCTGTGTTTCTGTTGTTAGTTAGGGTGTATATTTTTAAATATAGTTTATATATTTCAAATTCAGCATTTCAACTCACTTTTGTTAGTAGATTTTTATTAACGCTGTTTCTACCCTATGAATGTTTCCGTAGAGGATTCAACAAAGTAAAAGGCAGGGGCACCTGGGTGGCTCAGTCGTTAAGCGTCTGCCTTCGGCTCAGGTGATGATCCCAGGGTCCTGTGATCGAGCCATGCATCCGGCTCCCTGCTCAGCAGGTAGCCTGCCTCTCTCTCTTCCACATAATGAGAAAGGGATGGGAGCCATGATACCAAGACAGGTTGTTCCATATTCAACACCCATGTTTTTCCACAAGATTATGTGCTATCTCTTCCTCTGCCTCTCTCACCTTCAAGATGCCTTTATTGTAATTAAGGAGAAAAAAACACAATTAGAAGAAACAGAAAGTGACACAGTTATTACAAAGTTAACACTTGTACAGGATGATACCAGAAAACTGTCTAAGGCAATATTTAACCTGTTGCAGGTGCAAGCCCAATTACTGTGAATGGGAAGGCCACTGTGAGTGGTCTAAGAAGCAGACTTGAAGAGCCGGGATGGATACGGGTGGGATTCTAGATGAGTAAAGATGATGGAAGAGCATATGCATAAGGGGGAAGGGGACACTCAAAGTCTTTTGTCCTGCCTCTCTTTAAGCTCCTGGTATATTAATGATTTATGAATAGGAACCTAGGCACTCAGGAATCGTTTCCAAAATGCGGCAATTACTCTGTAACAGGTCAAAAGCTCCTCATCAGGAAGACCACCCAGATTCATCTTTATACTCCAGAGCACTTGGCTTTGTTGTTTGGTCAGAGTAGGGTGTGGGCTAAGGGGAGGAGAAAAAGACAGGCAGAGAATCCCTCCGTAAAATAAATGCTTGCTGGCTTTAGCCATTTGCTACATTCAGATTTTAAAACCCAGGGATTTATCAGGATAAATGTCTGCCCTAGAGCTCCAAACGCAGCCGGAGAAACCATTATATCCTCCAGCCAAAGGATTTTGTATTTCAGAGACTTTTCCATTGAGTGGAGCTCTCAGAGTTG